GGGGGGGGGGGGTTGTATATGGAAGGATCGGGGGCACCGCGGAATCGTACTGTTGTGACGACGACAGCACTTGAGCAAGCGGGATAGAATCGGAGGACACCGTCGTGATGAAAGGAGCGAGAGTCGGGGAGTGGGGGGGGCGGTCTGCTGAGCCCCGTAGGTACGAGAGCAGTGGCATGCCGGTCTCTTGGACACCGATCAGCGACGCACATCACCCGAGCACGCGATGCTCCGACGATTAGGGTGGTTTCGGTGTAATTGCACATGGTGGAGACTTCTTTCCACATATTCTCTCTTCGTTCTCTCCATATTTCTCTCCTCTCGTCTGTCTCTGCTCGCCTATCTACCCTGGTTTCTCGCTCACACACGTCTCGTAACTTCCCCTTTAAGAAGCCAAACTCGATTCAGGGTGTCGAACCAACCTCGGTCTTCGAACTACCACTTTAATCTCAAACGTTCTCTCTCTTTCTTTCTCTCTCTCTCTCTCTCTCTCTCTCTCTCTCTCTGCTAACACGCTCCTCTCCCCCCGCGCCCCTCTTTCTCTCTCCTACTCCTGCTAACCCAACCTCTCTTCATTTTCCCACCTCGTCCGGAATCACCAGGAGGGACTCGATATCCCTGAGAGAGATCGACCTCAGCAGTCGCCCACCCCGCCTGTCCCAAACCAGGAGTTTCTTCTTTTCCACGTTCACGTACCGCCAAGCCCACGCCTTCTTACCACCCTTGTCCTTCGCTCTTTTCTTCTTCCTCGCCCCTCTGTCTAAACTATTGTTGTTGTTGTTGTTGTTGTTGTTGTTTGCGTCCTTGTCGGTGTCGTCTTCGCCCTTAGCCCCCCCTTCGCCCTGCTCCTGCTCCGCCCGTCCACCATTGCTCTGTCGAGAGGTGGACCAAGAAACAATAGCTATGTATAACGAGAAACAAAAAAGACGCATTGTGGATGCAGTACTCCACTTCTACGCAGGCGGCGGAAGAGTTCTTCCAAATGCCTGAAATGTTGCCATTCGCCCCAACACCATCTCGTCCGGAGGGGGAGTTTCCTGCTGAGTGCTGCTGTCGAATACGCGACCCAAAGATCCGCAGCAGTCGGTCCACAAACGAGCCTGAATCAGGCTACAACAGAGTGAGCAGGAGTACGCAGCCTGCGATGGAATCAAGGCCCGCCGGAGTAGGAGCTGGAGAGCAGAAAAGCAGACCCTACCTCACAGATATAAGGTACCAAGAGAGGTACTCCAGTGTAGACTACATACATACCACACCCTAGCGGTGAGGTTTGAAAAACATGCGAGCGGGGCGCGTAACGGGCTGAAAAGTATCTGAACTTTTTCTCAAGGAATGTACGCAGCAGGGCTCAATACAATAGCGAGCAGGCATTTGACTTCACCTCGGCATCATCATCACGATTCCCACCGCTGCCGCCTCCCGTAGACCTCCTCGTGTTCTCCTCGCGGACGCGGAGGTAGTAGGTCGGCGGCGGTGAGGCCGGGCAATCGTCCGAGTCCTCGGCGCCCATGTCGAGCGTCGGGTCATCCACGTACGAGACCTCCACCTCTCGGAGCCTCCGTCCGGCGATCTCCGCACCCCCGTCGAAGTGGGCGGACATAATGTGCGTCGAACGACGCCAATTGCTGCTGTTGCGTGTGTGTGTGTTATGAACCTAGGCACGAGACGTACGACGTGCGGCAGGCAATCTCATATCGGCTGCTCGGAGCGCCAGGCAGGTCGATTCCTCGACACCCCTACCCAAGCTGCGCTTCGCGTGTCTCCTCGGTTTTCCAACCGGTACAGACAGACGCGTGTTGGTTTTTCGGTCCAGCCTCGCAGCTGGAGCACTGGCGCGGCAGCGGGCAGCAGCTGCGTCTTGACCGTCTGTGAACTGCGAGTGCGTTCGTCCATCTCGGCGCTCGGCGAGTCATGGCGGCTGCAAAGGGTGCTGCTCTACTGGGACCGACAATCGTTTTTCGGTGAGTGGGGGATTGGATAAAAACTCACGGAACTGTCAGCTGTGTGAGTTGTAATCCTGTGTTTGAAATCCGCGGATCCATCTCAAGATCTACTCACACTTAAGCACTACTGCTGTACACCCGCCACGCCCGGCAGTAGCCACGTAGGGGCGGCACTGTAAAGCCTGCGTGTTCATACATTGATACTCACACGTTAAGCACTCTAACCCATCTGCAAAGCACATATCCAAGCAACGACCGCGCAGGCTGCCTCTAAGCGATTCCCACGCTCGTTCCAGGGGTTGCGCCCTATTGGACCCGTAGCCTGCAGCTTGCAGCTTGCTGTAGCGCACGCTCCTCTTTGGTTGTGGGAAAGACAAAGCGCGAGGGCTTTGCCGGCCGAATTTCAGGCATTATGTCCTTGCCTGTAGAGCCAGCCACCTATATATCAAGCCCGTAGACGGCCCGGTAGAAGTTTTTTTTTTTTCTCCCATCATCGGACTCTGTTGTCTGCCCCTCTGGCCCCTATCCTCCACTTCTACCAGCTAGACGACCCAACCGGGGTCACATAGGAGGGGGGGGTTGGACCCCTCCTGCGGTTTCTGCCTGAGATATTTTTATCGCGAGAAGGGTACAGCAATCCCTTCCCTCGCGACTTACGAAATCGATCAAGTTTACTAACAATGAGCTTTGCAGCGCATCGCTTCCAACGGAGACCAGGATTTAATTAGCGAGAAAAAACTCACCCTGTCGGGACTCAAACCCATGACCTGGCCGAAGTGTGCGTGCTTCATTACCGATGGTACAGCAGCAGACTACTGGTGAACAGGTCTACGCTCTTGCGTTCCAGCACTACAGCATCTGTGTACCGCCGACTTCCAACGTCGACGGTATCTGCTGTTGGTGCAATCCACACGGCCTGCTGGCAACATGAAGCTACGGTGCATGTCTGCACACAGATGCCTATGTGCGCCAACGCTTGGGCATGTCATACTCTCGAACATGGGACAAGAAATCCTGTGGCAAGTCTGGTGTAGCAAGACGGCTTTTTACATCACGAAGAAGTGGTCCGCCGGAAGAAGCAAATATGTCGCGAGCGTCGCTTGCGTGTTTCAGCATGGTGCACGCAGGAGAATCGAACCAACCCGTCAAAAGATTGAGTGATCGGATAGGTTCGGGTTTGTGTTGCTTGGTGTGTCTCTCTCGCACTTTTTTTCTCGCGCAGGGTCCTGATAAAAGGCGGGCCGGAAACTCTCTCTCTTTCTCTCTCTGTATCTCTCTCTCTCTCTCTCTCGGCACCGTCCTCGTTTCCTCCGAGTCACGGGATGAACACACACAGTCAAACCTGAGCTACTACAAGCATCTATATCATGGCGTGCTCGGCGTATTTTTCGCCATTTGTATTGGTGCCTGCTGGGTGGTCTTGCAAGCACGACTATGGACGCCTCCTTTCAGAATCAGCGAAAGCTACAGCTGTTGTGCCGCCGACTCCATACCCCCCCTAACACCAGCGTGATTTCCCGGAACCTTTTCGGGTAGGTGCTCCACCCGCAACACGGTGTACGAGGTGCTCAAGGCAAGGCCCGGGTGGGTCGAGACCCAGGACGATGTCGACTGGGACCTGTGCTGGGCGGACGTCGGCTGGGTCAGAGACATGTACGACCAAATACAGGTACGTACACGCTGCTGCAGATCTCGGGGGCTTGGGGAGTATAGATACAGATATGCACGGCCAAGTGCAGGCAACCGCTTCAGATCTCGAGACACACCTCGGGTCATGGCTAGGTCTAGGCTGGGGGGGCTGGAGACGTACACGACCAGTTACTAAAGTAGGCTAGCGCGGTAGGTTGTGTGTGTGCTATCTGGGTTATGGCTGCGCCCAGGGGCAGAAGAAGCTCGGAATCCCCGCCTGCCTAAACAACTTGAAAAATGAATCCAATCCGCGTGCCCCCCCATCATTGCAGGGTTCACTTTTGTAGGGGAGTGAACTTGGCTCCCGACACATCGACTTGCGCACGTTTTTCTTCCTCTGGCTACGCGAAGTCTGTGGTCAAAATATCGAAAAAATGAGGCGGGTTTTGTACCTCTTCGTTCACGTATCCCGTCCCCCAACAAGCCTACCACCGCCGTTGTACCTATGTGTCGTACACCGTGACTTGCTGCATGTGTGCACCGAGAATTTCCCAGATGGACGACGACCAGCGGCTCAACCACTTCCCCAACCACTACGAGTTGACGCGAAAGGACTTGATGGTGAAGAACCTCAAGCGAATGCGAAAGCAGCTGGAGAGGAACGACTGCCAAGCGGAAGCTGCAAGCTACTGGTCGCTTTATTTTGTTTGCGGTGCTGATGTTCGTTGTTTGCGCTTTTCGTTATTGTTGTCGTTGTCGCTGCTTCTTATCGTCGGTCATATACAGTTGGTGTTGGTGTTGGTGTTGGCGTTGCCACTATTGTCCCTCGTGATTGGCGATACTGTCGGGAGGGGGGGGGGGGGGGGG